GGCGCTGGTTGTTGGAGCCGGGTCTTATCCTGGAGACGGACGCCTCCAGCTCGGTCGGGCTCGGTGCCATCTGCGGCGAGGACTGGCTCCTGGGGCCGTGGCCCGCGTCCCTCCGCGAGGCCCCTATCAGCGTTTTGGAACTAGTGGCTGTCGCTGTAGCCGTGCACGTGTGGCGAGATCGGTTCGCGCATCGCTGCGTCCTTGTGCGCTCAGATAACTCCGCTGTGGTGGCCTGTATAACCTCTCAGTCATCTCGCTCGCCTGCCCTAATGCCATGGCTCCGATTCCTTTTTCTCACCACCGTCTCTCATAACATTCTCGTGCGTGCCGTGCACACACCCGGCATCGCCAATGCAGCAGCTGACGCCCTGTCCCGCGGTCTTGTGCAGGTCTTCAAGGAGCTCCGCCCGTCCGCAGCAGCCACGCCGACGTCCTGGGACTGGCCGGCCTGCGGCACGCTCTCACCGTTCACCAGCTAGCTGGTGCCGCGCTAGCTCCTGCCACCATTCGCTCTTATCGAGCAGTGTGGGGCCAAATCCGCGTTTTCCTCACTCTGCCGCCCACTGCTGCCCTGTTTCCCATCTCAGTGGCCGACACTGCTGATTTCCTGGCCTCTCGACACGAGCAGGGCTGTTCCGCTTCCACCCTCGCCGCCGAGGCGTCTGCCATCTCCTACGGCCACAAGCTAGCCGGCGCGCCGGATCCCACGGCGGACTTCCGGGTGCGACAGCTGTTAGCGGGATCCCGCCGGCTACGGCCGAGTGCGGACAACCGCCTCGCCGTCTCCCTGACCGAGCTCGGCGAGCTCTGCGCCGCACTCCATTTCCTAGGCCTCTCCCCGGTAGACCGTGCTGCATTCCGTGCCATCTTTACATTGGCTTTCTTTGCTATGCTTCGCCCGGGCGAGGTCGTGCGCGGCCGAGACCTGACCCACACAGTCCGACTCAGCCACGTGAGTCTCGTCGGCCCCCAGCTTTCTCTCACCATTCCATCCTCAAAAACGTCGGCCTCCCCGTTCACCACCACGCTTCGAGCCCGGCCTGATCTTGCCACGTGTCCGGTCGCCGCTGTCCGCGACTACCTCGCGGTCCGCGGCACGGGCCTTCCTGATGACGCACTGTTTATCGGCGGCCATCGCCGCCCTCTGACATCGCGCGATCTCACTCGCGTACTTCGCATGGCGGGCCGTCGAGCTGGTCTCAACCCAGCCCGCCTCTCCGGGCACTGCCTTCGCATCAGCGGCGCCTCCCACGGCGCCGCAGTCGGACTAACGGAGCCTCAACTCTGCCACGCCGGCCGCTGGTCGTCCCAGGCCGTGCGGCGATACGTACGGCGGCCGGTCTCCCTCCTTCAGGCATCCTAAGCGGCGGGTCCCGTCCAAAGAGGGTTAACGTTGCCGGCCTTCCACCGCTACCGCTCCCAAACCCGAGCCACAGCTGCCCGTTCTAGGTCTGGGTGCACGGGCCGCGCCCTAGCAGGCGTAGCGGCAGTCCCGACGCTGCCTGTTCAGGCCCGGGCTCCCAAACCGCCGCCCTCGCAGGCGGAGCGGCGGCGTCCTTGGCCACCTGCCTGTTTTCGGTCCGGGATCCCGGACCGCCGCCTTCACGGGCGAGCGGCAGTCTTGTCCGCTGCCTGTTTTAGGTCCGGGCCCCCGGACCCCCGCCTCACGGGCGGAGCGGTAGTCTGTCAGCTGCCTGTTTCAGGTCCGGGCTCTGGGACCGCCGCCCTCGCCGGCGGAGCGGCAGTCCCGACTCCCGACGGCTGCGCGCCACAGTGATGTATCTGTATATATGTAACGTCGGGCTCGCGTGTTCATTGTTGGTTTAGCTCGCCCGCACAGCCATAACCCAGATGCAACTGCAGTTTCTACGCCACAGCCGCACCGCCGACGGTGCCATGTTTGTGCGTCGCGTGAGGTGAATTACGCCGTGCGCGGCATGTCATGTCCTCTGCCGTCGCGTTATCGCCACGTCTGTTAATCCAGAGGCATCCATCGTTTTCCATTAGCTTTCTGCCGCCCTGGCAATTTTGTTCATAGCGAATGCCTCTCCGTTCCGCGCGGGTGCAGATGGGGTGTTGGGCGTAATCTGCACCCAAAGTGCATGACGGGTGTACAAACGTACGAATACACAGACCCATATTCATCAGTCATGCATTTGCAAGCGCAGCGGAACGGAGAAATGCATTTGACGAGCGACACCTACGGGGTCGTGCGGCAAAAACTTTCTCTGTCCGCGGGCGCCACTGCAGCGACACCTGCCGTGTGGCTCCAACACTATTGGCTCAGTCTGTGCGCCCACGCCGTGCCGCGAACACTGATCCTACACATTGTTCAGCGTTCTTGTCTTTCCGATTGTCCACCGCCACCCCGCCGCCGCCTGTGGTACTGTGTTTCCATGCATTGCTGGCTGTGTAAGCGTAATCTGCACCCAAAGTGCATGACGGGTGTACAAACGTACGAATACACAGACCCATATTCATCAGTCATGCATTTGCAAGCGCAGCGGAACGGAGAAATGCAGTTCATGGTAAATTGTCATGCTTCTTTTCATACTTCCGTCCCGTCGCTGAGCCTGTCCCGTGGACTGCCACCTTCATCCCACCCCACCCCTTCATCAATCAGACACCCCAACCCGGCACAGACCTCCAGATGTCCCAGACCTATCATCAGAGCACCTCCCATCCTCACAGAGCACCCTCCAGTCCCGTCGCCCACAATAGTCATATCATCAGCCAGACTGCCACCCGCCACCTATCATCCAAACCTTCCAGAACCTTAAGCGAACAACCCCAACCTCCCTCCCAACCCATGTCAGATCATCCGCCAGACCCACCGGACCACCCCCAACCCTCCCACCAAGCCCATGTTAGATCATCAGCTAGACAACGACCTCCCGAACCTCTCAAACCCACTAGATTACACCCATCCTCCAACCAAACCCACCAGATCATCAGCCGGACCCATCAACAAACCCACCAGACCAACTACGATACCACTAGAGCTCCCAGACCCACTACGAGACCACCAGACCCATCGGACCACTCCCAACCCTCCCACCAAACCCATGTCAGATCATCAACCAGGTCCACCTGCACATACCAACCGTCACCCAGACATACCAGTAGACCACCATCATCCACACTTCCCAGTTCCCAGACACACCACCTAGACTTTCCAGACCCACCAGACCATCACCAGACCCATCAGACCACCACCAGACCACCGCCATCCACCCACCACCCTTATCCCATCCTCTCGCCGCCCCCGACGATCAGGACCGGCCAGCCGTCGGGCCGTCGGCCGCCATCACTGGCCGCCGAACCGGGTGTCAAATATTTACACATTCCGTCGGCCCAGGATGGCCGGCCGGTGCTGCTCCTGGCGCCCTAGCCGGTGGTCCGAGGTGTGTGTCATGGGCAACACGGGGGAGATGTTACAGGGGAGAGAGGGTGTGAAAAGTTCGGTACATGGGCATTGGCGACTCAGTTGATATGTAACTCAGCGTGGCTGTGGAAGCTCAACGGTGTGGTAATGCATGAAAAGTTGAGGATTTTGGCAGAGGTTTTGTTGTTGAATGGAGACAGAAAAGAAATAGGCGTGCATGATATGAAGCAGAAACCTTGTAGGGATTTGGACCGCCGCACCACCGTGAAATAACACAGTCGTAAGCAAACGCAAAGGTCAACACTGAACGCAAAATCAACACTGAACAGCCGTGTCATGCAGACGGTCTCTATAAAACTCATCAACTATGTAGGTAACCATTCCACAGGTGTCATCGGAATGTAAACACACACCTGCACGATTTTTAAACATTTATCACGCCGGTGTGTGGCCACGTGTCTGCGTGTATGCGTTTCCGAAAGCCTCCTTTGCTGTAGTTCAAGGGTGATACCCCACTGCCAGCTCTTCCAACATAATCATTTCCGAGTTCCTGGTTGAGTGTAAACGTTCATGGTTTCCGCTCAAGGTTGAAGCGCATGTTGTGTGTAATCGTAGGTGAATCGTATTCCTCTTGAAGTGTTTAATTGTACTGCGTATAGGTACTGGGAACATATTTGTGTGGAGTGTCTTGTGAGTGAGGTATATGCTCTGCGCGAACTTTGTGCTTGACAATATTTTTACACCGTAAGTCTCATTCGAAAAGAAGAATGTTGTGAGGCATGCTTCCTTGGCGAATAGTATTCTCTGAGTGACGTTCGTCTCATCCTAAAAGTGCACATTGTACGAAGCTATACCGTGCACGTCTCTGCAATGTGAATCCCTTCGTGAAAAACATAACATTTCCGCGTAATTCGCTCCCCCGGAAGTGCGACCTTTCCCATGAAGTTCACTGCGTTGCTTTGTTTACTGCGTTGAAACGCACTTCTCTCCATCAACCATTCTGTGCATCTCTGACTGAAGTGCGTCGCATTACATCCCTCCACAACCCTCGGGGTGGCTCCAAGAGGTACGATAAACACCTCAGGTGCCCTGACACCCCGGGCACATGTAAACGAAACGATCAAAAAGCAAACAGCTCCGCGACAGCGCGAGAGCCGCCCGCCTCGGGCGCTTGGCACCGTGCCAAGATCCGGTCCATGGAACCGATCAGAACGGGGGTGGATGGTGCAAGGCAGGCAGATGATAGGCAAGGGGTTGAGTTGAGGGCAGGGAAAGGGCTAGCCAAACCCAAAAAAAGACGGCGTAGAGTTGGGATACATTTGATTGATGGATTTGGACGACTCAGCTGACACTTTTGGCGTGCGTATAATCGGGAATGACATCTGGGGTGCTGAAATGTGACAAAAGCAATGTGTGTATCAAGTGTTCTTGTGTCAATAATCATACATCTGTTCAATGTTGTCAGTGTTCAACGTGACGGTATTTCAAATCAGTGCTCTTTTATCAGTAATCATACCTCTGTTGTCAATATTCAGTGTGACAGTATTCCATGTCAACTATTCCTGTGACGTCTCGATATCTTTGCTCATTTCCTTAACCACTTCTACACGTGGTTCGAGCGGGTCACCATGCTGGTCATCTTTATCAACTGCGTCACCCTGGGCATGTACCAGCCCTGTGAGGACACCAAATGTGTCAGCAGTCGCTGCAGGCTCCTCGAGGTAAGATCAGTGACGTCATAATGACGTCAGCATGACGTCGGCAGTAGTTCACCCCCTACATGCAGTTCGTCAGTATTCAAAGCAGCTCAGACTTTTCAGGTTTCAGAAATGATTTCTTCCTCGCGTGGCTATTGTTGCTTGCATTAGGAATGTCTCGCTGCTGCAAAAATTTCAAGATGAATTTGCTGCCACAGTAAATAATGACCATTGCCAAGCCTCATGCTCAAACCTCTGTCCCAAATTTCACCCTTTTACTGAAGGTATGATAATGCTAAGGCGGTGCATGTTCAGTACTGTTAGTTCTGCTAGTTCACATTTAGTTAATGCCTTTGCAGAAAAGCGATAGAGAAGCTCGCATGCAAAGGCGCAACCTTACCAAATCAACCAAAGGAATGATACCAAATGGGTCTCGCGTACTAAAAGAGCGCCATGCTGATCTAAACTTTATATTAAAAATGAAATAATAGATCGCTAGCGTACTACAAACTGTTACGGCAGACTTAAAAGGAGTTCAATCTTGTCTTATGAGTCAAATGGTCCATATAAGTAAATTAAGTGTTTGAGGGCAAGCCATGGCTTAACCAGAGTACCCTTGCCTTAATTGCTGCTGTGGAAAGCTGCTCAAATGATATAACGGATTTGGCATATTACATTTTTGGACAGTTTATAATGTAATGCACCTGGTAACTAACCTCGTGAGGGATAGGATATTGTTTCATAGGAAGAATGATATTTGATCTTTATCATATCACCCATTCGCCAAATTAAACATCCTGGTCATGGCAATGATAAGCTAACATTTGTTGTATGTGCATCATTCTTCCCAAATATTTCATCCAGTAACCCTGATATCAGTTGTGATAGTTGTCTGCATTTGGTGTGCTACCTCAACAAGGAAACTTTCAGAAGAGCATTGCTGCATTGCTTCAACATTGTCTCTATAAATAGTTGCTGTCTTTCTTGATAGTTATATTTGCCTTTCTGTTATCGGCCGAGCCGGCGAACAGAATTTCACACACTGTATACAGTTTTTCACACTGTATACTGTAGGTTTATGGATGGGAATATCTGATTGCATAAAAGTGAACGCAAACCATCATCATCATCATCATCATCACATTTATTTGCATCACACACACAATGTGGGGTGACAAGGTGAGGTGACAGTTAAAACAAATATACATCATCATCAAATATACATCATAACATCAAATATACTTTTAAGAGGAACTTCAAAATGCGCAAGAAAAGTGCACCGTGGAAATGCTGCAAAGAAACACTGAAATGGCATTGGTTTGCTTCTGTAATGACATTTCCTTACCAGTGGAATGCCTCATTGCATAGATATTGCCTCGTTTCTCTTTTAGGTGTCAACCGGCTGCGAATATGCTGACTTGGAACTAGGCAGCGCTTCTCATTAACTTTACCTTGTAAATATAGTGTTGAAATATTTTCAACGTACTTTGCTGGTATCACCAACGATAAAATCACATAGGCACTTATGACTGTTATCAGAATGCCTTTTTAAAATTGCACAAGCAGGGAGCCGTACACTGTTTAAGTTCATCATTCAATGCCGCAACGCTCAGATCGGAAAAAATTGTGATCTGCTCAGTATCCATGCATTAACTTTAATAAAATAGTTACGAATCAATCAGATCCCCAAGCGAGGACCCAAACAATCGCGATGACGATATTGATTTCTGAAGAATATCGGTACGAATTCGTTAGCTACACTTGCCTTGTTAGCACCAGACATGCAAGTGCGGTAGCCAGTGGATGCTATACCTGAGTGCGAGACTATTTGCTGATATGTCATCTAACTGAACACGAGTTAAACATATCTGCAACTGGTCCAGACCCAATATCGAAACAAGCTACCGCAACGAGTTCCTACACTAGCGCTGACCTGCGAGCTAGTGCAGTAAAGCTAGCCTCTTGCCGCAAAACATGACAAAACTAAGTGCTGGTAAGAAATGAATTGCGGAGTACCTACAACATTTGCTAGCCATGCGCCTTTGATTGGTCATCATGTGTTTGAGGTCGATGTCAACCGCCCAGTCTCTGTGGGGTCAAGTAAACTACAGCGCACCTTGCACTGTTGGCTTAGCAGCCGTGTTCACTGCCCCACGTGTCGCGACCGAAATTATCTACTTTAATTAGCTATCCGGGGTCTCTAAGTGGGCTATACCGTTGTAACAAGTTACCACTTAAACACCAATAACGCACACAGTCGAACTAATTACATGGAGCGGGATTCATGTAGGGACTATCTAAATCTGCAATCGATGTGAATGCAGCAGCTCATTTTACTCAAACGGTAGAATTATGGATGGGTTATTTTCGGGGCACCAGCAAAATTAAAAGGTTCCTTAAAAGCGCGAAATTGGTGGTATTTATTTTAACAGAATTTGGATAAAACAGGTGATGTTTTATTCCCATTCACGTTGTTCTCTCTCTCTCTCTCTCTCTCTCTCTCTCTCTCTCTCTCTCTCTCTCTCTCTCTCTCTCTCTCTCTCTCTCTCTCTCTCTCTCTCTCTCTCTCTCTCTCTCTCTCTCTCTCTCTCTCTCTCTCTCTCTCTCTCTCTCTCTCTCTCTCTCTCTCTCTCTCTACCACTCTCCCTCTACCACTCCCCCTCCTTCACTCTCTCCCTCCCTCTCTCCCTTCCTTCCCCTTTCTCTCCTCTTTCCCACAATCACTCACCACCGACCGCTCCCACAGGTGGGCGATGACGTCATATACGCCTATTTCCTGGTCGAGATGCTGATCAAGATGGTGGCGATGGGGGTGTACGGCGAGGGCACCTACCTTGCCGAGAGCTGGAATCGGCTTGACTTCTTCATCGTAGCTGCCGGGTATGTGACTGATGATGCTAAGCTTGATGTAAAGGAGGGCGAAAATAATGATGCCGTTCGTATGAAATGATGGGAGCAAAAGCATGTCAATCAGTTGCTTCCAAGTCATTGTTACGACTGGAAGTGCATCGGAAGAGTATATCTGGGGTGTCTAAAGAGTTGCGTTGATTTTTGGTGATAGAAGCTAGAGATTCATGACGTTCATTGATGTTAATGATAAGATGTTAAATCACTGATCATCTGGAGGAATGCCAGGTAATAATGTGAAGCAGCTCCGCGTGCTTCAAATTGCCAACAGTGAACATTGAGTTGAGAAGTTGAAGTCATGATCGCATTATTACGAGCGAGCGAGCGCAGCGAGCGAAGCGAAGTCTTTTCAATATAACGGAAAAATCTCAGTATGAGCGGCCCGGCCCGGCCCGGCCCGGCCCGGCCCGGCCCGGCCCGGCCTGTAACGCTTTTGAGAGGCTTATATCTCAGCAACCGCTGGACCGAATGGCCTGCGGTCTTTTTTGCTGGGTAGCCCCATCCCTTCTACCCCGTAATTGACTACTTTTGATACATCTCAGTGACCGCCATGGCACGTGCCACGTGAAAAGTCAAGGGTGTTCAAGCAGTTTTGCAAAAGTAATGATTTTGAGAGACCCATATCTCAGCAGCGGCTTGAGCGATTGTCTTGCGGTTATTTTTATAGGGTAGCTGCATCCCTTCTACCAAAGGTCGGATACTCTTCATCTATGTGAGTGACCCCCACTGCACGTGCAAAATACAACAATAAGAGGTGCCAAATTTGTTCCCATTTCAGTAACTCGGTAATTACTGGGGCGATTTCGCTGAAACTTGGCATACAGGTAGGCACCCACCAGGCAATGCATTCCCATGTGTTGCGGTTAGGGTGCTACTGCACGTGCGCACGTGCAGGGGGCGTTTCCAGATCTCGAGAACGGCTGGGCCGATTCCGCTCAAATTTGGTACACGGTTGGGGACCGGTTAGTAGGGTGCCGTGCAAAAGTCATTTTGGACCCCGTTTGCACGTGCGCACGTGCAGAATGCCGCTTCCAGATCTCAGGAACGGCTGGGCCGATTGCGTTCAAATTTGGTACACCGCTAGCGACCGGTTAGAAGGGTGCTTTGCACAAGCCCGTTGGAAATACCCTCTCGCCCTTCTGCACGTGCAGGGCTCACTATCTCGCTCGCTCGTTCTTCGCCCCAAAGGCGTTTTACTGGTGATAATCATTCAAACTCGGGCTCACAAGGGCGCTGTAGGAGACGGACGTCTTAATTTCCATCAGCCAGTGCGGCGCAGTTCCTACCGCTTAAAGAACAGCAATCAGGACAATTTCTCGCCGCCAATTGCGGTCTACTGCGGACAGCTTTTCGAGAAAGCTATTTCATGTTCTGCTGTGTCCGCCTTGTTCAGAAACAGTAGCCCATCAATCACCGTCAGCATACTACATCTGCGGTCCTGCCGAATGAAAATGGTTTAGTTTTTTTCGCCTTACTGTTACTGGGAACTTGCTGACAAATGGCTACCTCCCTGCTGTTGATTGCTTTATGCATTTTTAAAGGTTTCATTGATTTAGTTTGTTCTTGTCAAAAGACGTTAGTGAGAAAAAATGTCAATGAACAATATTGATTGTTCATCTTCATGGTTCATGTCAGCATGACTCATGTTAGACGCTACGCATTGCTCAGCCTAGTTTTAATGAGAAATAAGCACTGCAGCACGCAGCATTTGACACATCTTTTGCGTCTTTTCTAGCTGCAATTGACATCTCTTCTTTGTTTTTTTCAGGCTGATCGAATACTGCCTGAACGTGGAGAATATGGATCTGTCTGCGATACGAACCATCAGGGTGCTGCGGCCTCTCAGAGCCATTAACCGGATACCCAGTAAGTTGCTACACCCCATCCCGTAGCGCAAGAAACACCACACATGCTGCAGTACCACACAAAATCACTTCCCTTCCCCACCCTCCCAGCCCCCCACCCCGATCGGCAGATTACCTCTGGGAAACCGTCACTAAGGCAACAGCCGTGCCCACATCCCTAATTGGTTATTGGTAATTACGCGACCCTGGCATCTGCTCTTGGGGAGAGTGGGACTACTGCAATCTCAACCTAGGTGGCTGGGTATACCTTGATAGGTCTGCGTGACATGAAAGTCGTGTTTACTATTGGGATCAAGTGTCGCTTTTAATGACTACGTGTTTTTAGTTATCCACTATGCTAGATGGGACATTTTGCTGCGAGTGGGTTTGTTCTGTTATAAATCTGGCTGGACTGATTGCAAGTAGTGTATTTTAATTGTAAATCGGAATTCCAGCCTATAGCCATCCTCTACATCAAAGCTTGTAAATTACAAATGAAAAATCGAAGAGAGTATGAGGCGTTCCCTCACAGCTTGTGAAGAGATTTAAAAAATACAGAAAACAAATTTATGCGTAATTTTGCTACTTGTCTGTTTCCCACCATAGGTCCTTCGGGATCCTCACAGGAAAATATGCTGTCCGATTGCAAAAAAAAAAAAATCTCTCCCAGCA